CTCCCTATCTATGAAACTTTTTCCCTGTGGTATAATTTTTTTTCCCTGACCAGACTGGACTCTTGTGGTTGGTGCTTTGAACTGTTGTCTCTCTAGCACCCTTAATTCTTTTGTACCGCTCTTTTTAGGCCATATGCAAGCAGTTAACTCCAACCCTTGGCTAATCTTTTGATTCTAGTAATGATTAAAAGGGGATACAGAAATAAGGCAGAGTTTTTTTTCCCCCTGTTTTTGTGAACAATGCTTGAGCATGTTTATAGGCTTTATAGGTTAAGGAGAAAGAAATGCAAGACAGTAGGGGAACATTTGCAGAAGGGAGAACCAGGAGAAGGGACATAGTAGCTGCTTAAATTTTTGTTGACTATTGTTTGGGATGATAGACATAAGGTTAAGAACACAGGCAAAGCTGCTGGACTTGACTAGAATAAGAGACATTTCACTCTTCTTAGTTGGAAGGAAAATAAAAAAGGCTAGATAAAAATATGGATTCTAGATCGGGGGAAGAAGTGGGAGCAAGTTCTGATCTTCAAGCCATCTCAATACTTCCACATTCCACCCATCAACAAACCAATAAAATAAGCTCAGGCACCTTAGGTGTTGGTCACTGAAATTTCACAAATTTTGTCCAAGATCTGTTTTGCTGGTTCTGACTCATTTCTATTCTGATCTAATTTCTGTCTGGCTTCTGTTTCTTGACTCCATTTCCTCCTTATCATTCCACTCTTACTTTTTGGGCCAGGAAGTGATTTGGGGTCTCCCTACCTTATCTCAGCTCTTAGACTGACCTATCAGCTATTCTACTTCTGCCTCTCTCAGAGTATATACCTTATCTCAGTGATCATCTGATGATCTAAATCTGACCACAGGGCAAAATTCCTGCCACACTTACATGAACTCTAGTGAGGGAAGGACTGGGAAATTTTATTGCTACCTCTTCTAGTACCATACTCATTGCTGTAGCCATATTACACAGACAGGGTAGCAGGTTTATTCTTGTCCCTGAATCTGAGAAACCCTGCCTAGAATTGTGAGAGTACAGGGTCCCAGTGGCCCACAACAGAGGCAAGGGCAGAGATACTCAACTATACTTAACCCTGAGGGCCCTCTCAGCATCCTTGAGTCATTGTCCACACATCTATGCTATACCTTATTGATGCCACCCCTTTGATACCTCTGAAAAAATTTGCCAATAATTTGCATTGTAAAGCTTTATAGACACCTAGACTCTGTGGTTAGGAAGCATAGATGTAAAGCATTAGATGTCACATACTGTATTTATTAAGTACCCTATTTTGCTCCTTTGTCCTTTTCTCTGTTGTTGGTAAGTTTTGAGTTCTAAGACCTATTTTTTTTCCCCTGTTGCTGCTAACTAATGGCTTTCTAGGTTGGCCTTGAAAAACCACAGACCCTCATAATTATGGTGAAAGAAATCTCAACCAGATAAGAAGAAATGTTTAGTCTTCTAGAAAGTTAGAAAAGCAGATAGTAGCTTGTATCATGAAACTCTCCTCGTAAATGTTAATTCTAATTGAGATACCCTGAATTCAGATTATTGCTGTGGCCTATGAAATTAATCTTTAACATCTAAAAAGTCTGTCATTTTGACTGATTGTCTTAATAATTTATTACCATGGTAATAATATTTAAATTGACATCCCTATTATCTAAAGGTTTAAATATGCTTTGTAGTGGGTTGAATTGTGTCCCCCTCCAAAAAAAAAAAAGATATTTCCAAGCCCTCACTCCCAGTACCTGTAGATGTGACCTTATTTGGAAAAAGAATCTTTGCACTTGTAATTACAAAAAGGATCTTGAGATGAGATCGCCCTGGGTTATGGTAAACCCTAAGTCCAATGACATATGTCCTTAAAAGTGACAGAAGAGGAGAAGACAAACAGAGACACATAGGGAAGAAGGTCATGGGAAGATGGAAGCAGAGATTGGAGTGATGTTTCTACAAGCCAAGGAATGCCAAGAATTGCTTACAGCCACCAGAAGCTAGGAGAGAGGGATGGAATGGATTCCCTCAGAGCCTCCAAAGGGTGTCAGACCTACTGACACCTTGATTTCAGACTTCTGCCCTCCACAATTGTGACAGATTACGTTTCTGTTGTTTTAAGCCAC